GGCTGGGAGTTTTTAAAAGCCTCGGGAATCTTTTGCAGGTGTTTAAAATTACGTCGTTGATTCAGATGGTTAGGTTAATAGCTTGTTTAGAGAAACTTTTCATGATATGCTAATTTTTTGTGACAGACATTTTGGGTTTTCATGAGCTGTATGCCATAATCATCAGTATTAAAACAATTAAAGACCTGAAATATTTCAGTTGGTGTACAATGAATCTGAAATATATGAAAGTTTTTATCATTACATTATGGAAAATAATGACCTTTATCACAATATGCTAATTTTTTGAGAAGGACCTGTATGTGAATGTTTCTGTAAAGTGCCCTGAGACAACTTTGTTGTGATTTGGAGCTATATTCCATCCACCCATCCATTTTCTTTACCCGTTTATTCCATTTTGGGTCACGGGAGTCGCTGGTGCCCATGTCCAGCAATCACTGTGCGAGGGGCGGGGTACACCCTGGACGGGTCGCAAATCCATTACAGGGCCACATAGAGACAAACGACACAAACAACCATTCACTCTCTCACTCGCACCTAGGGACAATTTAGAGTTACCAATCAGCCTAACATGCATGTTTTTGGTCTGTGGGAGGAAACCGGAGCACCCGGAGAAAACCCACGCATGCACGGAGAGAACATGCAAACTCCACCCAGAGAGGCCCCTGGACCGGGGTTTGAACCAAGGACCTGCTCGCTGAGAGGCAGCAACTCTACCAGTTGCACCACCGTGCTGCCCTGGAGCTATATTAATAAATTGAATTGAATTTAATAGCCTTGTCTAAGGTTATCCTGATGCATGCTCAATAATCCAGGTAGAAAAATCTAAAAAAGTTAAATCTGGTCCTCTGGACATTCAAAAAAACAAAACAAAGCAAATCAACAAAAAAATGTAGAAACGTTTCGTCTCTCATCCGAGAGACTTCCTCAGTCTGAGGAGCTGTATTCAGCTCAGTCTCTTAAATAGCACCGTCTCAGGGTGGATCAACCAGTTTTGCTGCTGACAACCAAAACCAGCTGATCACATGCTCAAGAAGGACCATCAGCCTAACAATGGATCATTAGCACACTGATGGCTGTTTACTGTTCACAGAGGGCTGAGTGATACTAGCAATC